CCCTCCCGTCCCTCCCGTCCCTCCCCTGTCGCCCCCGCCCACTCGGAACCCTGGGTTGTGTGGGGCCCCGCGGGTGCCCGGCCTGGCCTCCCTCCGAGCATCTCCGGCCAGAGCTGCAGCCGCCGGCCAGCGGCCCCTCCCATTAGCTGGTGGCGGGTTGGCTCCTGACCTAGTGGAGAGGATTTGGGTAGGTTTTGTTTGTTTATTTTTTTAATTTATTAAATCAGTGTTCTGGGTTTCTTGCCTGTGAACTGTATCCCGTTCTGTACCCCCGCCCGGAGAGCTGCGCAGGGATCGCGGATGGATGCTGCCACAGCCTTTCCCTTCGTGTCCAGACCGCAGGTGTGAGGCTGCCGAGGATTAGCAGCGGGAGAAATAGTTGACTCCTTGTCGTGACCTCCTGACTCCCTCCCTCCCTCGGATCCAAGAGGGATTTGGAGAAAATAGCTTGTGGGTGGATGGCAGCAGTTTGCACTTGTTACCATTCACTATAGTAGGTCGCTGGCTCTTAATTGGGGAGTCCATTTAAAGTTGTGGTCTTTCTCAAGCTATATTTGGGTCACGTTTTATGATCCCTGTGAGTTGATGGAGAATGTCTCTATCTCTAGGGCTGAGAGAACCTGACCGGTTATTACTTGAAAATATTGCTGTATAGCAGTCCATAAAAACACAAAAATCAAGGTCATTGTGGGCGGGTCATAAACCCTAGTGTCAAGTTACAGTCTAAAATAAAGAGGACTAAGGATAATTAAGGTGGGCACATTAAAAAGATGTGTCAAATGTATCCTCAGCCTAGTATGTTAATACGTGTACTTAAAAAATTCACTACCTACCTTGTGGTAATAATAACAGTAATATGTAATAATAATTGTAAGGTAGTACGTGTCATCCCTGTACTAAAATGCTTTTGGTGTAATATCTTTTTAAATATTTTCAAATATTTAGATTTTATTTATTTTAAAGATAAAAGCTAAAGAGGTGCTTTATTTTGCCTCAGTCTGAATGGCCAAAATATTTTTGAAGAAGAGATGAGGTGAGAAGTCAATTGGAAAGAAAGAACCAAATGAGATTGGTGTTGTGGGAAAAAAACTAAGATTTTAGTCCCGTTGCCATCACAGTCTAGCTGTGGAGTCATGGGTTTGTCAGTGAGCCATGCTCTGTTTTCATCTATACCATACATTTAGGGAGTCAGGCTAAATTCTTTAAGGCTTATTCGGTTTTCCATGCTTACTTGGCATATGCTATATCTGTAAATAATTTAAGACCCTTTAACGTGTTAAAAGTACATTTAAAGCATTTGATGAAAGAAGTATTAGTAAACTTACATAAAAATATAAGTAAAAAATGTATAATTCCATACTTTTGGAATAGTGTTTGGTTAGTACTATCCCAGAATTCCTCATTTTGGATGTAAAGCAATAGGATCATATTAGGCCCTTTAAACTGTTGTGATTTCTGTTAAACTTAACATACTTACGAAGCTGTAGTTGGAATAGAGCATATTTTAAATAAAATGATAACTGTGTTACATTGCCTATCTCTGGGATGTTTTACTTAATAAAAGAAATTTAAGCATTTTAAAATGCATACACATAACCATCAGCTTAACTGTTAGATTCTAAAACAAGAAGAAGTAATTAGTAAATCATTAAATTTTTACTTATTTGTCCACAGCCTGATTTCTTGAATGCATAGGAACTGATTCAGAACTTGTAAAAAAAAAAGCATGATAAAATAATGCCATGTATTAGTGAAGAAACGTGTTGAGAAGTCCAGTAATGTCTTTGTGGAGGTTTTTTTCTGGAATTATAATTGAGTGTGAGTCAATCAAATCTTTTTCAGCATAGAAGGCTGCATGGTGGTGGTGTTAGTAGTACCAGGTATAATAGGGAACGCACAGGAAAAGCTATTTTTATTACCAGAAAGTTGTTCCCTAAGCTCAGTTTTACTTTATGTTAAGGAATGAAGACTTTTTATATTGCTTTAGTAAAATATTAGAGTTCAGATTCAATTTTTCAAATGTACTAAATATGAGTGGCATTTATCATGTAGTGGAATAATCGGTGCATTAATACCTCTTATTAAAGTTGAAAATGTTTGAACTATTTTGAATTGGTAAAAAAAAATGTAAGTGAAAGACAAGAATGGAAAAACACCAGTCTTTGTTATTGTCAGAATAGTGATATTTGAGTTAAGAATCGTTGGTAAATTGAGTTAGCCTATTTTAAGTAGCACATCTTCATGGACTTGAAGTGGCCCTGCTCACATTTTTGGTCTTCCTGGAGAACTCAGCACTTGGATCAGAATTTCCTACCCACATTGACGTCTGAAATCAGGTCCTGATTTTCTCCCATGCTTCATTCTATAACTCACTAGTCCTTCTTTTACTTGAAAGAGATTTAGTTTACAGGCTTCAGTTCTGTCTCTCTATTTTAGATCACATCTTTATTTTTGATTTACTGCCTAAAGAGACCTCATGCCAACATGTGGAAATACAAGCCCCCTACATGCTTATTGTATATGATACGAGCTGAAAGGCTATACTATCTGAGGTTTCTCATCTCTGACAAGTAGTTCTCAGACTTGAGTGTTGGAGACAGTAGGTAGCTGGGGTATGGTTAAATTGTAGCTCTGCTTTAATGACGGGGACCCAGAATCATTTTTCATTCAGGAGTTTGTAAGACTAGAAGTCAAACTCATCTTTAAGTTTCCCCTTTCCCACTCCCCTTCAAAATTATCATTTTTGGAGATGCTTATCATCTGCCAGGCAATTTCTCATGTAAGCATGACAACAATGCTGTGAATTAATATTTTTATCACCATTTTACAGGTGGTTAAACTGAAACTTGAAAAGAAACTGAAATGAAACTTGGAGAGCTAATAAGAGACTGTGTTGTAATTTGAATGTGGCTCTCTTTTTAATATCTGTATAAAATTATTTTTTGACTCTATTGAAATAAACTGAATACCTATGTGATATTTAAAAATTGAATACCTCATTGACTAATTACTAAGGACAGCTATAGCCTGATATTTTAGGTAAATTATTTAACTTAGAGTAGATAAAACCAAATTCAGAGTAGATAAAATCAAGTTAAATAGCTGTATAAATGTTTATATAGTTGTAACTTTGTTTTTCAAATTCATATGAAGTGGCAATTATAAGGTTTAATATACATACAGAGAGTACCAAAAAAATGTATACAAGTGGACCTTGGTCAACGTTGCTCAAGCAGTAGTTTGCCATAATCGGAAGTGTCTGGACGCTGATGGTAACCACTTTGAGCACCTCTTGTAATCGCAGAGGTCAAATGTGACTTGTATTGATCTTTTGTTATCGTTATATATTGACTTACAATTTTAATAGTTTTTTTTCCTCTCTTAAAATGTGTATATATATTTTTGCATAACCATTTTCTTTTGGCCCTGTGGGGAAATTTTTTTTCTTTTTTGGTTTGCTCTATAAATTTCTGATTGTATTCTTTTAGACATAGCAATATTAAAAATATTTAATTACATTTTATAGTTAAGAATATTTGGGATATTCTTTGTTATCCCAAAGTTTCTTGGATTTTTAAACCTAGCATTATTTTTATGTCACATAGATGAAATTTGATTCTACAGTGGTGGTAATGTTGTTGAACTAGATGAAATGTTCATCTCATTTTGGATGCTATGGCTGCAGTGTAGCTCTAATAACTATAAATGTAAAGTAGGATTTTTCCTTGCTTTTAAGCCAGTGGGTGACTGGGGTTTGACTCATGGATGGCTGACCTGTGCTATTACCTTACTGGTAATAACATTACTGGCAGAAGCTGTCATGCTGAAACATTAGGAAGCCACCTTAGAGTCATAGTCTTAGTAGCATTATTGACCTTGGCCATGTTTCAGAACATTTTGTTGTATCACATTTAATTCTGCTTGAGATTTTTTTTTAAAAGAAGACTGAGTCATTCATTTGCCATTAGAGTAGCAGCTCCTTTACTGTCATTCCATATTTTGCCTCTAAGAAACAAAGGTGCAGCCAAGGAGACCACTTTAAATTAGGTTAAAAAGTTAGAGTAGAAACAAATTACAATTGACAGTCGTGGACCACAGAAAGTTTAACCCGCGAGAAAATAGTTTAAAAATATCTCTAAGGGGAATGAAAATGGAATGATAATGATTTTGATATACTTTTCACATCCTAAGTATGTAATAGTTTCTCATTGCCATGGTAAGCAGTGTGCTTAACAGACTCATAACTCGTTCTTTATTTTCTGTCTTGGAGAATGGCACCACCTTTTGCCTAGTCCCTAAGCCAAAATACTTGGGAACCATCCTAGCCTGTGTGCTTTTTGTGTTCAGCTGTTCACCAACTCCTATCAGTTTTATTACTCATTAAGTTAGTAATTGCCTTTTTCCAGCATGTCTCCTGTCTTCAGTGTTCCTTCTTCACCGCCTGTCCTCCCCAACTCTTATATAAAAGTCACCACTTTTCGGGTGCTTACCGTGTGCCATCATTTCTCATCTGGGTAACCAGTAAGCCTAGTTTATTTCATGTCGTCAGTCTTGGCGCTTTCTCCATCCACCCAAGTCTGTTCTTCAAAGTGTTGCTCTTCTTTCCAAAATGCAGATTTCATCATGGCATTCTTCTGCCTAAAACCCCTCAATGCTTTCCCACTGTGTCCAGGGTGAAGTCCAGACTCATTGGCATGGTTTAACAGTATGCTTCACTCGTAGGTCACTGTCTGCTTGTAAGTCATGAAATAATATCAGAGTCTATCAGGTGCAGTGAGGGTAAACATTGTTTTATTAAACTTTCATTTACATATATCATACATATAAAATATATACTCCTATATCTCACCTATTTCTATGTGTACTGGTAACATTATAAAATATATTTCTAGACTTGATTGTGATCAAAAGATTAGACATGTTTTATCTCCTTCCATATGCAATTACTAGTCATTTCAATTTAATTGGATTTTTTTTTATGCTAAGCGAAATAAGTCAGACAGAAAAAGTCGAGAACCATGTGACTTCATTGATATGTAGGATATAAAACTTAAAGCAACAAAGGAACAAGGCAAACAAATAAACAAAAGCTCATAGACATGGACAACAGTTTAGTGGTTACCAGAGGGTAAGAGGGGATGGTAGATGAGGGTAAAGGGGGGTCAAATACATGGTGATGGAAGGAGAACTGACTGGGTGGTGAATACACAATGTGATGATGTATTATAGAATTGTACCCTTGAAACCTATATAATTTTGCTAACCATTGTCACTCGAATAAATTTAATTGAAAAAAAAAAGAAGGAACCCTGATATATCACACAACATGGATGGACCTTGGAAACATTATGTGAAAGAAGCCAGGCACAACAGACCACATATTGTATGATTTCATCTATATGAAATGCCCAGAATAGGCAAATCTATAGAGATAGAAAGTAGATTAGTGGACATCTAGGGCTGGGGGAGGGAAGGCTGTAGGAAAATGGGAAGTGCATGCTAATGTGTACAGGGCTTCTTTTGGGGGTGATGAAAATGTTCTATAACTGATTGTATTTATAGTTGTACAACTATGAATATCTTAAAAACAACCTAATTGATTTTGAGCACACTTAAAAAAATTATACCTTAATAAGTTTATTTTTTTAAATAAAAAAAAATCGGATTTTTTTTTTTTTTGCCTGCTTTTATACCTTTGCTTATTTGCTCCCTTATTCAGAAGAGCCTCCATTCTTCATTTAGCTAATTCACAGATTTCATCCTCTCTGGAAATCTTTTCCTGAGAATAATTTCCCGTGAGAAATACATTTTGTGTTGCAACCCAGTACACACATAAATATTCACATAAGTGAAAAAAGTTCCATGAAGCAATATCCTTCCTGTATGAGATGCTTTCTTGCCCCCTTGCCCTCTCTCGTACCTTGTCTTATGTGGTATTGATCTTGTCTGTTTACTAGTCTGTCTCCACTGAGGATAGGGCCCCTCTCTTTCGTACTTATATTCATATATAGTATTTACATATACTATATATAGTATATAGTCAATAGATATTGATTAAATCAATGAAATATTGAAGTGTGTTATGTAGAACTCTTTACAGTATTATTGTTTAATCTTGAACTGTAGAAACTAACTTCTATGGTTGCTTCTCTTAATGGTTTTATTACAGAAGGATAACTTTTTTCCTTAAACATTAAACATTTAAAACTAAAACTTGCTTCTATTTTAAATTTTAAGTTTGCTAGTTGTGATTAGATAGTTCTAGCCTCACATAGGTATTACATTGCATTTTGTCACATCAGTGATCTCGGAATTGATTGTCATTTTGTGATTTGTGGTCAGGAAATTTGACGAAGCCCAAATACTGGACACATAATGCTAATTTGATTTTATGGGAATTGAGTGGTTTCAAAAGAGAGAACTTCCATGTATAATGGTAATCGAATGCAGATTTTGGGGAATGGGGGAGATATGAAAGCAGAGAATCAGATGGAGTCGAATCATCTTATTTCTGAATTTAAAACTTTGTAATTGACATTTTCACAGTTAGAATATTTAGCTTTTTACAGTTTTTTTCTTTGTGAGAGATAATTGTTTGTTAAACCATCAATAGATTCTCATGGAGAACTGTTATTGAAACGAGATCCATTTGTTGGAATGTAATAAAAAGAAAGAATGAATCAAGATAAAACCTCTAAATGCAAGTACCAGAAAAATTGCGACACATCATAGTGAATTTGCAAGTGGTAAGAATTTATTTAATTTTACCTGGGAATATATTTCTGAATTATGTGGCTTTGTATGCTTAAAGTCTTATGTTTGGATGCATTTAATAATTGTTCTTTTGCAAAAAAAATTGTAGTTACTTTATTTAAAATTTTTCATATTAAATTTGACCTAAACATTTTCTTAAATAAGGCTTTTTTTTATTTAGAGAAAAAAAATCCGTAAGTAATAGGAGCTTTAGAAACATCTTTCTGTATTATAAATCTCATATGGCTTTACAGCTGATGCTTCTGCACTTCATTTTTAAAAGTATTAATTTAAAGTGCATTTACTGTGAGAACAATATGTAGTGATAAAGAGAGGCTTAAGTTAAACATTTTGTTTGTAAGGTTGTAGTGTGTAATCAGACCTCGTAGGCTATCTTTATATTTCAGTTGGATAAAAAGAGTTTAGAAGTACATATGTTTATTAATAAACTTAGAAGAACACATAAATATGTGAAAGCCTTCCTTCTCACTGCTCTTTTCTTCCTCATTCCAGTGGTAACCACTGTTAACAGTTTAGTAGATGTGTTCTTTCTCACACTTTTTTTTATATGTATACAGAAATTATATCAATACATATATTTTTTCTAACAAGAAAATTCTACAAATATTTCTATGACTTGCTTTCCCCTTCAACATTTAATTATGAAAACTTTTAACAGAAGAGTTGAAAGAATTATATAGTGTAACATCTGACTACTCATCACCTGCATTCACAACTAGCATTTTACTGAACTTCACATTCTCATCTATCCCTCTATCCATCTGTCAATCCATTTTATTGCTTTTGGATCTATTTCAAAGTAAATTGCAGATATCAGTACACTTCCTCTCCCTTCTCTCCAACACTTCAGCATACATATCATTAAGTAGAGTTCAGTGCTGGTTTACAGGGTTTTTTTAGAAGGTAAGTTTACATACCATGAAATGCACCAATCTTAAGTGTGTGTTTGCTGAGTTTTGACGATTCATAACCTGTTTATCTCAAACTCCTATCGAGATGGAGATCTTTTTCAGCACAGCAGCAGAAAGTTTCCTGTGCCTTTCCTGTGCTATCTCGCTCCTCTCCTCCTTTTAGGAAACCACTGTTAAGATTTTTCCCACCACCATAGACTTTGCCTATGTAATTTACTTTTCTCGCTCAATACTATGTGTGGGTGCCATATGCAGATCTAGGCTGCCTCTTTTATTCCCCCCCCCCTTTTTTTTTCTTTTCAAGTTGCAGTAGCTTGGAAATAGTGTTCACTGTGGATGTGTTGTAATTGATTTGATCATTCCCCTCCGTCTACATGGATATTTACGTTGTGCCATATTTTTGTGATTATAAAAAGTGCTATATAGAACATCCTTGTATGTATATATGCCTGTACACTCTAGTGAGTATTTTGTAGGTATTACTAGAAATAAAACTCCTGGGTCAAAGAGTTTGACATATTGATACTGCCAAATTGCCCTCCAAATGATTGTATCAGTAACATATAAGTGTCCTTTTCCTTCTGCCCGCTCACCGTTGAATTTCATCTGCCTTTCTAAAATGTTATTAATAAAAAGGATGAAAAATATACCTAGTTATTTCACATTTTCCTAATCACTCATGATAAGTCATTGGATTTTCTTTTTCTTTTGTGAATTGTCTCTCAATGTATTGACTTTATACGCCTCTTATCAGTTATATGTTGCATTATTTTTTTTCCAGGGATGCTTTGGCTTTTAACTTTGTTTTTGGTGCGTTTGGGGCTTCAGAACTTCTTCCTTATTGTGGTCAAACTTGGCTTATAGGTTTTGTTTGTGAAAACCTTCCTCATTCCAAGATTATAAAACTACATGCTATTTTCTTCTACTAGATTTGCCTTTTATTTGGAATTTAGAAGAGAAAGAAAAAATCACTGTGAACTGGGTGCCAGGAAAATTTTTATATGGAGAGTGAGATTCAAATTGACCTTAAAATATGAGTTGAATTTAGAGTAAGCAAAATGGTAAAGACATTTAAGATAGGAGAAGTGAAATGGGAGAAGGAATATATTTTTCATATTATTGGAACAGTAATAGTCCACTGGCTAAGGTGGAGACTTTGATAAAACTATAAGTTTAGAAATATATGTTTGACTAGATTTCTTGTAAATTATTTTGGATAACTTTTATCATTTTCTAAAGTCTGCATTTGATGTTACAGTTTTCTGTCATATAATTGTTTTCTGTCAGTTTTTATAGTGATTGGAGTATTCTTCCTGAGGAAAATGTGTGGTGAAATTTAGTTGCCTGAACAGGCAAAAAAGGAAAGGTGGTTTCCTACCAGAATAGTTTGAACATTATAAATATTTACAAGTCCAGTTTATTAGAGTTGAATTATAATTTCTTTTAAAAAAGTTTGTGCTGTAGTAATTTACATCATTAATAAAGTTAGTCACAGCCCTCAAGTATAGTTACCAGATAGCAATCTTAAAAAATGTTGACGTACCAGTATGTCCACTAGTTACATCAAAGTTTGAGTTATGAGCTCACCATTTAATATACAAATTAACATGTTGGAATCTCCAGCTAATGAAAGTATTTTACAAATGCCACCCTTAAGACAGAGTAGCAGCATGTGTTCAGTTCAGTTCAGTTCAGTTGTTGCTCAGGATGTGTAATAGTTTCTGTTCAGCCATAAGCCACGCCTGGTGGATATTAACTGCGTGGAGCCAACCCGCAACTCTACCAGTTACATGTTTCTGGTTGTAATCTGATTTGGAGCTCTTGGGAGACTACAGTTTTCCTCTCTACAATCCAATTGTAAAGATTATGTGGCACTAATATTCACTAATCAGGTATTTAAAAAAATATATTCAACATCTTGTTTACTGTTTTATTTTTCTATTTTGCTCACTTTTCCTTGGGGATGCTTGTTCTTTCAGAGTTTGCTGTCTATATATGTTTACATCCAGAAAAACAATTTTTCACTGTACTTTTCACTACCTAATATTTTCTGTTAAGAACCTCTTCTAGTGATAAGAAAAATTTGTTATCCTCTGATAGAGAATAAAAGTAGAGTTCAAAACATAAATGAGTATTTGATAATTTTGCTGCTTGTTTTGCTGGCTTGTTTGCTTTTCTCTTTCTAATATTAATACATTTAGAAATAAGTAATGAGATTACTCTGTTCTATATAATTATTGTAATTCATAGTCTGTTGTTTAGTCCTGAATGGAACTGAAACGTTAAATGAAAGAAGGCGCATGAAGTTAATAATATTGAACATGTTGCGAGACAGAGCCGTCTGTCATTTCTGTTAGCACTTGATGGTTGGCAAGACTGTAAAAATAGACATTCTTTTCAACGTTTCTCTTTTTAGCTATATAGATAGCTTATCATTTGTATTTGAACTCCTTTAGTTTTTAAAATAATACGTAGCAAATTAAATAGCATGCTTTATCCTCTGTGACTTTTCTCACTTAAATGATGCTGATAGGTCTTTTACTTTTCTAATTGAAAAGTAATGAAGTTCAACTTTTACTTTTTTTGAAGACCTAGGGCACTATTGGTATTTTAGACTTCATATGTAAGTACTAATTTAGACCATATCTGATTTAAACAATTGGGTGGTGTTGCATTTCAGTTGTCTTTTTTCCTGCTGCCCCAATACTTGTAGGTTCTAGGGATGATAGCAAAGCGGTATTCTTTGAAAACTAACTAACCCTTAATCTTCATTTCTTTGTTCTGGGAGCTTTATAGCTTTAAAAAACATTGGTAAGACCTCTAAGAGCTGGTACTCTGAGGTTCTTCAACTGATGATAAATTATTCTTAGAATGAAGTAGTCTGGGATATAAACTGAAAATTCGGGAGTCATTCTTGACTCTTCCCTCTGTGACCCCGAATATCCAATCAATTAATAAAACTTACTTGACTATAACTATTTCTTCAGTTCATCTCTTCTGCAAAACTAATTTTGGCTTTTGTCTTCTCTTAGCCTAACTGATCTCTGTCTTTAATTTTATCCTCCACACCAGAGCTTCAGTAATTTATTTAAAGTATAAATTTCATGTTAAGCCTCTGCTTCAGTAGCTTTCCAACGCCTAAGAATGAAGTATTAGCATTCTAATATGGCATCTCTATGTCCTTCATGATACAGTTCCTTCTTTCTCACCATTCACTCTGCTGAAAGCTTTGTGATTAATGATGGCAGTTTGTCATACCTCCTACAATTTTTACTCTTGTGTACCTCCTGCTCTGCCTTCTGTTTGCAGCATTATTGTCACTTTTCTTTGCTTGGATAACTTTTATTCTGTCTTTTAAGACTGAAAGCTTTTACCCCCTTCAGGAGTTCTTGCCTGGTTTAACTAGTCCCCATCTTTTGTGCCACAGTACCATGTTCACATTTCTGTAACTTACCATATTGTATTAAACCCATTGAATGACTTTTTCCCCCATCAGACTGTTAGTTCCTTTAAGCAGAAACCATGTCTTATTCATCACTATCTACAATGCCTAGCCAGTGGCTGCTGTGTATTGAAAGCTCAGTATTTGTTGAACTGAGTTCAACTCATTGCTGTAACATTATAGTCTTAGTGAAGCTCCTGGGTAAGTGGTTCCTAGATACCACTCATCTGCATCAGATACAACTGGGAAGCATTTTAAAATATTTTATTATTTTTGAGCTTTACTCCATAAAGAATCATGATTCAGTAAATCTGGAATGGGGCCTAGGAATAAGTATATTTTAAAAAGTTCCTTGGTTGATTCTGGATTGTGTACAGGTTTCAGAAACATTATCCTAGTTTATTATTGTATTATTCCATTGTATTTTATGTAAAAGGTGCCCTCTAGATCTTATATAGTAATTTATTGTTTAAGCTTTGTAAGTTACATCTACTAAAGTGTGGATATTTTTTAAGTCACTTTTGGTACCATAGGTATAGAGGTATGTTAACTTTAAGTTGCTCAGTGGGAGGTCTCTTAGCTGAGAAAAGTCCCATTTAAATAGGTTTCATCTTGAGTTAAGTGTACAGCTCAGTGAATTTTTACATACCCATGAAGTACTACCCAGGTCAAGGTACAGAATATTTCTAGCCCCTCAAATGTTCCCTTGAGTCCCTTTCTAGTTAATAATTAACACCCCTACCACTGCAAGATTACCATTATTTTGACTTAAATGTATCAGTTAGTCTTATGATTAAAACTACAAAAAAATTATATATATATATCTTTTGGTGGATATGTGCACTCATTTCTCTTGAGTTTACACATGGCATTGTGGGGTTAAGGACAGACATGTTTAACTTCGGACGGAAATGCCAATTTATGTTCTATGATAGCAGTGCATAATGAAAATTGAAATGAACTTATTTGAAGCTTATGGTGAAATTTTAATATTTTGAAACTTCTCTTTGTTTTCCAAAGTGTTTTATTTTGTCAAAAACATGCAAAGAAAACTCAACAAGTGTCATTTTATAGTTGCCAGTAATGTAGTTTTGTTTTAGTCAAATACTTTTTTCTGTCATTCACTTTTTTGTTTCCTCTCTCTCCTAGGATCGCCATTCCTTGTGGGTTGGCAGGCAGTTGTAGGACTGCAAAATGGGTCTCCGGATTCACTTTGTTGTTGACCCACATGGTTGGTGCTGCATGGGTTTGATTGTCTTTGTCTGGTTATACAATATTGTTATAATTCCCAAAATTGTCCTCTTTCCTCACTATGAAGAAGGACATATTCCAGGCATATTAATAATAAGTAAGTTTCTAGGTCTTTATTTCTTTCTTTATATAATTAAAGATTTTCCTTATTACGAATGTTGTCGGAGCATAGTGCTACTATGATAACCGCTCTTTTAATATTATTAGTACTATTAATACTAAGTTATTTTCTACATTATGGAAGTTTAAAAAAAATAATGGCCTTTATATATATTTTGCAGAGTTAGATAAAAGTGATATCTTCATATGTAACTCTGCAAAATATATACAGATCATTTTGTTTTAAAAAACTGATACAATAGTGCTAATTTGTATGTGTCTGTGTGTATTTTTAATGTTTCTATTATATACTCACTGCAAATGTAGGAGTTTGAAGAATGAAGATGGTATACATTACTGAGAAATGAGATTTCATGATATGTATATTATTGACTGATGTTGATTATAACACTTTGAACTTCTGGATAGTTATTTTCTGCTATATCTTTGGTGATGGCTTGTTTATAATTAAAAGCGTAAGTTTGAAATGACGTATTTTACATGTACATTGCATTTACAGTTTCCATGTACATGATGTCATTTTGACCTCATAAGAGCTATGGGAAATATAATGTCTGTTATACAAATGGTAAAGCTGACCATATACCATGCATTCAGTCTTGGAGTTAGACTTGAACTAAGTTTCCTAATACATGTGCAGTGCTTTTTTCTCCCCCAACAAAATGGCTATATCTTATTCATTTAAAAGGTGGAATTATGATGAAAGAATCTATTTTCTCCTGTTATTTTTTCTGATTTCCAATTTCAATATTTTTTTAAAGTTTCTAGATTTTTTATTTTCGAATTAAAAGCATTAAGATCTATTGAAAGAAGCAATTGAACATCACTAACTCAAAGTAATTTCAAAGATAGCCAGTTAAAGTTAATGAAAAAGCTTAACTGTTGAATAGGTTTGAAAATGATGCTTTGATTCTTTCAAATATAGTACATGTAGTAATTAAAAGGGAACCCATTCATTTATACCGTTATTGAAAGGGAATCTCTGTTAATAAAAAATCTGATTTATAACAAGTTTATCAGTTATTATGCAAAATAATATTTAAAAGTGGTACATTTAAGGTAGTTCTCTTGGCAGTATTATTTGATGAATGAAAAAAATTAATCATTTAATTTTTCCATCTTATCTCTTGAAAATTATCCTGATGGTTTTAATTAAAATATACATATAAATTTTAAATATGCTTGTTGATAAAATGGTTTGAAGGGTAAATGGCTAATTTTATTTATTTCTTTATTTCAAAGTATTCTATGGCATCGCCATATTTTGTCTGGTTGCCTTAGTAAGGGCTTCAATAACTGATCCAGGAAGACTCCCTGAGAACCCTAAAATTCCACATGGAGGTACGGTACTCTTCAGATTTATTAATTTTAGTATGCCAGAATTATTATTTTTATTAATATATTTTATTACCTTTAGTATATATTAGTTGTATGTCATCTAACACAACTTGCAAGTTTTTTCTCAAATGTGTTCTTTCCAAACTTCTCTATTTAAAATAGCAAATCCCAGCTGACTCATATCCCCCACTCCACTGCTGTCCTTTTCAGTTTACTGGTGTATTTGTTTGTCTCCCCTCCCACTGTAGCTCCGTTGACCTCTGTGAGGGTGTAGATTTGTTGTTTTCTTCATTTGTTCAGTGTGTATCTTTACTACTTGGAATGGTCTCTGTCACTTAGTAGATGCTGTGTAAATATTTGTTAAATTATATATAGTTATCTGATAAATTATATTTTTATTTAATAAAGGATTTTTTTGATAGTGCTATTTACCTCATGATATAATAAATATACTATTGCTTATAGTAGTAAATTATGCAGTATTTGATATATTGCCTATATTTCTCCAAGTTCTAACAATTCAATGAAAAATTTGAAAACCTTTCATTCTAGTTTCAATTGAAGGTAATTTTTAATTTGTATAGTAACTGTTCACACCACAAAAATGAATTAAAAGTGCATTGTTTGTTTCATTACGTGCCAATATAGTAAACCTCATTTACCTTCTTTGCAGAGTTTCACTTTTTGAACATTCGCCCTGTAAGTTTGAGAACTCTCTGTACTTATTTCTATTAAGAAATCTATATGTCTTTGTTGTACATTATAGAACCAGAATTCAGTGGTTTCCAAACTTTCTGTATATTGGAATCACCTGGGGAGCTTTTAAAAAAATCTGTGTCCAGATCACATCCCATATTAATTAAATTTCAGTGTGTGGGGATAGGACCAGGTATCAATCAGTGTTTTGGAGATCCCACGTGATTCAAAGTTGGGGAACCATTAATTTGTTCCAAAAGTAGTGGCAAGTCATTTATAGAGCCTCCTTTGAGTTTCTGATTATTGTTTTCTGAGACCCATTATTTAGGGACTTGCTTGGCCATGCAAGTTAAATGATTAAATAGGAATGATACAACACTGATTTTACGTAGCTGTAGAAGTTTCTGAAAACTGTGTTGAATATTTAGTTTTTATTAACTTATCGAAACAGTATCACTGTCACTTAGCAGTGTGTGTGTGTGTGTGTGTGTGTGTGTGTGTGCGCGCGTGTGTGTGCGCGTGTGTGCGCGTGAGCGTGAGCGTGTGAGCACACTTGCACGCACATGTGTTTGGGGATAGCACTCTGTGATTTATATAAAATCTCTCTTCTCAACTAGCCTAAACAAAAGGCTCTAAAATATAGATACATGTATTGTCTACTTCAGCTCTGAAACTTGTTTCTGATGAAATCTTTTAGTTTGCAGTGGTCAAACACTCAGTGCCTACATGTCAGATACTGCAAATCAGTGACTGGGGTTAGGTAGGAATTATTTCATATTGGAAGTCTCTTATCTAAAGGGAGTGGCTACTACTCAGCTACAGGGTTTATATCCTGAAGAAAGAAAAGGAGAAGACTAAGAAATGGTTTATAGATATATGTGTAGGGTAGGTTAAAATGGATGGATTTTTTTCTTGCTGTATGAGCAAAAACATAGATGATGCTTTAATTAAATTTCTAGATTTTTACAATAGTGATTTTTTTCTTTGTTTTTTTAAACACTTACATGTGTGGGTGTGTGCTCATTCAGGTATGTGAAAATGAGTTTTCATAGGTATTTCTTATTTTACATACATGTATAGTATCTTAAATTTAGCCAAAGGAATAGCCCAAGCTCTTTTTTTAAACAAATTTATGGTCCAGACCATACATAGATCAGCAAACTCTTCTTTACTATAAAGGGCCAGATAGTAAATATTTTCAGCTTTCTGGACCATGCAGTCTCTGTCACAACTCTACAGCTCTGCCATTGTAGCAAAAGCAGCCTTAGACAACACGTAAATGAATGTGCATAGCTGTGTTCAAATAAACTTTATTTATGGACATTGAAATTTGAATTTCGTGGTTTTTACATGCCACAAATTATTATTATTGTTATTATTTTTTCAATCATTTAAAATTGTCAAAACCATTCTTAGCTCATGGGTCACACAAAAACAGGTGGTGGCCTGGATTTGCCTGTGGACTGTAGTTTGCGAACCTGAGAATAATAGACTTTCTCTAACTATAATTTCTATAATTTTAATTATAGACTTTCTGTGACTATAGCCAAATGGTCTCTTCTGTTCTTAGGATATAACATTTTGAGTCTGAAATAAAGAATTTTATTCTCTAGAATATTATGCTAAAATTGTGAATAATATATTTATGTTTTAAGGGACTGGTTCAAGGACATAAAGTTTTTATGTTGTCTTTTAGTGAAGATTGGCTCTTTGAGGAGAATCTCATTTTTGATATTTCTTGCAGTATGTGAATTCAGAGTCTTAACATTTGGGATGTTTGGGAGTATCTAGTAAAGTGGGAAAAAAATGTGATATGCCTATGACATTGTATTTTGCTAATGTATTTCCCCATGTGTAAGACGCACCCTTTTTTGAAAAATTTGGGGTCTAAAAACTGGGTGTGTCTTATACAGTGGCTGTAGATTTTTTTACTTGCATTTCCCACTTTTTCGCGCTTGTTGTCTTTGCGCTCATTGTTTCGAATTTGTTACCAGTATGTTACGGTAGGTTACGTTTTAACACGTTCTGCCTAGAAATGGCTCAGAAAAGATTTTGATACAGTGCTGAATTCAAGTTAAAAGTGATCCGTTTTGCAAAAGTGAATGGAAATCGTGCTGCTGAACATAACTTGGGTCCTCCTCCAACTGAGAAAACAATCCAAGAATGGCTACGGGAAGAAGAAACCCTACTGAAAACGCCACGGCCATGAGAGGCAAGTCAGCAAAATGGCCATATTTAGAGAGGAAATTGAAGATATGGATTCAAGAGCAAAGGGCAATTGGGTGATTCGTCATCAGACACAGATGAGGACAAGCTAATGGTTGGGAGTTTTGACAGTGATGAGTTGTATGAATTTTATGATGAATAAAACTTGAGTTCAATAACTTTATGTAATACATTTTTTTTCAAATTGTGCGCCCCAAAATTAAGGTGCGTCTTATACATGGGAGCATCTTATACATCGGGAAATACGGTACATATGAAATGAGTTTCCATTTCATTTACAGTTAAATAATGCTGATTTAACTATATCCAAACTAAGCCTTAATATTGTTGCTCTCTCACATGTTTTCATTAAAATAAGAACTGTAAGTAAGAAATGAAAGAGGATGTTTATTTATTAAAATTTGTTGGGGTGACAGTGGTCAACAAAACTACATAGGTTTCAAGTGTACAAGTCTATAATACATCATCTTTATATTGCATTATGTGTTCACCACCCAGACTCAGTTCTCCTTACATCACAATATATTTGACCCCTTTTACCCTCTTCTACCATCTCCCCTCCCTCCTTACCCGCGGGTAACCACTAAACTGTTCTCTGTGTCTGTGCTATGAGTTTTTGTTGCTTTATTTGTTTGTCTTGTTTGTTGCTTTCAGTTTTATATCCCACATATGAGTGAAATCATACGGTTCTCGATTTTTCTGTCTCACTTATTTTGCTTAGTGTAACAATCTCAAGATCCATCCATGTTGTCACAAATGGCTGCATTTCTTTTCTTATGGCAGAGTGGTATTCCATTGTGTATATATACTACATCTTCCTTTATCCAATCCTCTATTGAAGGATGCTTTGGTTTTTTCCATGTCTTGGCCACTGTAAATAATGCTGCAGTGAACATCGGAGTATATATATCTTTATGGATAAATGTTTTCAGAGTTTTAGGGTAGATACCCAGGAGAGGAATTGCTGGGTCATATGGTAATTCTATTTTTCATTTTTTGAGGAACCTCCATAGCTGTACCAATCTGCATTCCCACCAACAGTGTATGAGGGTTCCTTTTTCTCCACAGCCTCTCTAACCCTTATTATTTGTCTTGTTGATGATAGCCATTCTAACTGGTGTAAAGTGATATCTCATTGTGGTTTTTGATTTGCATTTCCCTAATAGCTAATGGAGTAGATAGAGCCTTTTACATATATCTGTTGGCCATTTGTATGTCTTCTTGGGAGAAGTTTCTGTTCATATCCTCTGTCCATTTTTTAATTGGATTGTTTGTTTTTTTGTTGTTGAGTTGTATGAGTTCCTTATGTATTTTCGATATTAGCCCCTTATCGGAAGTGTTGTTTACAAATATCTTCTCCCATTTTATTGGTTGCCTCTTTGTTTTTGTTGATTGTTTCTTTGGCTGTGCAGAAGCAAGAAGATTTTATTTTAAAATGAGATTTTAAATGTAAAAGAGCTCAACTTTCATATTATTGGAACAATTTTATATAGATTTATTTATAATTTATTGATTTTTTTCAGAGACATTTATAGCAGAATGTTTTTTCAACTTTACTGTGTAAAATTCCAATATGTTTATTTTACTGCTGGGCACTTAAATTAAAATAATGGAATTAAAATGTGTATCTTTTTAGAAAATTGAATACTGCCTGCTATTATCTTCCTTTACTTATGTTTAGAATCTTTCATTGTAAAAAATTTTAAAGTTTTCATACTTTAGCAAGCATTTAGTAACTCCCTGTTGTGTAACAGGGTCACATTTGCATTTACTCTTATTCACTCTGAATGTGGAATTAGATTAATTTTACACACTTTTGATGAGGTTAAGGTATAGTTTAAACGTAAGTGGTGGAAGATTTAATTTTATAAAAGTAAAATTTTTCAACAAATATTAAAAAATACATTCTGTATAATAAAGCAGTTGTCTTATCCTGGTAGATGACTTTCCCATATAATTTTTATGCATCTGATTAGAATAATTTATAATGACTATAATGACTTTTCTCTTTATTTCTGTAAATTTCATGGTTTTTTTTTTTAAAGATTTTTATTGGGGAATTGGGGGGATGGGAACAGCACTGGGGAATTGGGGGAAGGGGAATAGACAAGTTGCTATCCTTTTGTTCTTCAGTATACTTGTGGAGAACGTTGCTTCACTGGCCCGAGTTGGCACCATCATTGGGCTCTTCCCGGGCAAGGCAGATCAGTCACCGGTTTCTGGACGGCCGCTCATTGCGGCTGCTGGCCGCTTACGCTGGCTGCTGGCTACACACGGTAGCCCATGGCAACCCACTGCAGCAGGGGCTGCAGCCTATGCTGTCGCCTGTGGACTCAAGGCAGCCCGGCTCCAGGTTGAGCTGTTGTTCAGCATCTTAGCTGTAGAGGGCAGTGTTACTGGCCCTTATATGTGGGATCCGAACCGGGACCCTCTGGCATCCCAAGCCAGCTCTTAACCATCGCGCCACTGGGCTGGCCCTTAATTTCATGTTTTTAGCACAAAACATTTGTGTGCTTTTTCACTACAGACTAGAGGAAATTGCTCTTGATGGTAGCACAGTTTTGTGAAGAACTTTATTTCCATTAGATAGTAACTTTCTTGTAACGTCATCATTTCTGAAACTATTCTTATACATCCTAAAATTATCTGAAATTCTCCCATAAACATTCCCAAATGAATTCATTGATATTAAAAAATAAAATGGTTTTTGTCCCAGGGAGCTGTGGGGTGTGGTCGGTGGGGGTGGAATGCCATCTCTGTTTCTCTAATGAGTTTATAGGATTGATTTTGATTTATTAATGCATGTAAACAGGACTCAGCATTATTCCTTCTTTAGAGCCTTTGTGTAATAAAATTTCTAGAGGGTAATTTGTTTAAATACAATTCTGTTTTCATATAATAATTTGGTTATAGTTTAGAGTTTTGTCATTAAGTTTTACTTATAAAAATATGTCCAAAACCCAAATATGTTACTTTCTATCCCTTAGTTTGACTATTAATAGTGTCTTATTTTTATAGTGTTTAAAACTGGAAACATACAAAATCAGGCATACAGAGAACAGAGTGGCAACATTTATGGTAAACACATTACAACTAGAGACTTAGAAAAAAAATTTTTTAGACGTCTATATTGAAGACTTCCTATAAATTCTTCTAAACAGTTGTTGCTAAATTTCACCATTACTCATTTGCCTTCATTAAATAGATTTTAATTTCTTTCTCTAGAAAGGGAGTTCTGGGAATTATGCAACAAGTGTAATTTGATGAGACCAAAGCGTTCCCATCACTGCAGCCGCTGTGGCCACTGTGTTAGGAGAATGGATCATCACTGTCCATGGTAAGGAATGAATCACTCACTTTTAGGAAAAAAACTAGTAAAAAATAAATTTTAGTAATTAGCAGATTTAAACAAAAGTTATGTTAAGATTATATAGTTTTAAAAAAAATCTTTTAATAAACATACGCTTTTGATCACATGGTTCTATGAATTCCCAAAGTCGTTTTTCCACAGAGATCCTATATTTTCTAACAAGGAGATATTTGAACAGAAAACTAAGAATTAACATGAACCCAAATAAAGAACGAAGGTGATTGTATTAAATGAGGCATTATATGTAAAGCGTTTTGTACAGTGTCTGACACTTAGAAAGTACTTAAATAGTAGCTGTTATTGTCTCTAAGTGTAATAAATCATATACATCCCTTCCCATTTGTTTAATTAAAGCGTAACAGTTTTCAGGTAACTCTGATACCTCATTTCTGCCCCTTTTAGCCTTTTTCAGTGTTATGTAGTAGATAGAAGTATTAACATTGCATATATGCTGGGTGTGTAAGTGGTACCTAACTGATTCTGCTGAACTGCCAACATTTTTGGTCAATAGGGGGCTCTCTTGTAATATTTAATGAAAAAGACCAGTTGAGAAATATAATTTTAAAAAAAAATGCTGTGAGGATCCTGTATTGTATCTCACTTCAAAGCTGCCACAAAAATCTGTGAACAAGATATTGTGTTTAGTTCTGTTTTTCTAGGATGGGATCTCTATGTAAATATTTAAACTGGTATATTGTAGCACTTTATAAATATATCTATATACATATATGTTTATGTTTGTGCACACATGCATGCATATATACAAAGTTAACTACATAACAGGCTTCTTAAATTATAAAGGCATTTATCTAAAGTTGACTGAAGGGAAGAGTTTAGCTTTGCTTAATAATGCTAATAAATTTAGAGTTTCCCTTATGTTTGATAACTTATTTTGAGAGCACAAGTTATTATTGGCAAGCTTTTAGTGGAAATTTGAGTTCTACTATAAACTGATTATTTAAATGGAAGGTAATTTTCTGAGATTAGGAAAAAATAAAAGCACTTTAGATAAAAACACTTTGTTTACTATATTAAAAAGTTTCAAATTGTCTAATTCCATCAGAAGGATAGCATAGTATATAACATACAGCTGGTGTTTAAAAATGTGCCTTGAATTTAAATAGATTCTCAAGTACTTTGTACACCTCAGTGATCTAGTACTATTACAACTAGAATAGTACTAGATGAAAAAAGGCTAGGTAAACAGGTAAGTGGTAATCACACTGAAAAACTCAATTTTCTACACTTTCTAGAGTAATGTTTCTGATTAAAAATATAATAAATGTTCATGATACAGTTCGTTATTGATACTTCCTTTTAGGAAAAGGGTGCTGTAGTTTAAGCTTAAAAAATAAGCAATCAACTAGGAAATGTTTTAGTACTGTAGCGATTTGTGATATTATTTATTTACTTTTAAGGAATAAAGACTAACTTGATGACAAAATAAAGAGCTAGTTAGCCAAAACTCTTAAGATTGGGGTGGGTTCTCTGTTTCTAGGCCTCTTGCTTCCTTCCAATGTAGTCAACTTCTCAGAATATTGGTAGGAAGAAGACTGGAGGTGGAAAGACTTGGAGGATAAAAGAGGAGGGACCAGGGACCTAAATAGTAGGGATTTTCGTGATGAGTTCTCGAACAGAGCACTGCTGAGAGATTCATAGTGAAGGAAATGTACAGTGTAAATTGGAAGCAAGGAGAATTTTTGTTATTTTCAAAAGCTGCATTGTTAAGTGCAAATTAGTAGTCATAATATAGTCATGGGGACATGAAATACAATATGGGGAATATAATCAACAATGTTGTAAAGATTATGTAGGGCGTCAGATGGGCACTGGACTTATTAGGGTGATCACTTCATAGACTGTGCAGATGCCTGACCACTGCACTATATACTGGAAGCTGAAGTAGAATAATATTGAATGTCAACTATAATTTATATATATGTGTATATTTATTTATATATATGTATATACGTATATATACATATATATGTATTATATATATATATATATATATATATGTGTGTGTGTGTGTGTGTGTATATATATATCTATGTATAGCCACGGGATGTGGTGTACAGCCTAGGGAATATAGTCATTGGTATTGTAACAGCTATATGCGATGTCAGAGGGGTAGTAGCTTGGGGAGGTTTATCGCTTTGTGAGGGGTGTAAATGTCTAACTATTACATTGCTTTGTACACCTGAAACTAATAAAAAGCACAAACAAACAAACACAAACAAAAATGCATTGGTGTAACTGCCTAACAGCTTTAGGTTTGGAGATTAGTTCTCAGATCACCTTAAGATTTTCTGTTTCTTGCTCCATGTATTTTAATTGTTACCAAAAGAACTCTAACATATATCGATTGACTGACTACCTTAGTGTTTCTTAAAGCTCTTTGGTTAAAAAGAATGCCAGGATCATAGTAGTTATTTCTCAAATTGTGGGCAACAGGAAGGATGGCACAAGGATAACTTATCTTTCAAGCACAGCTGTTGAAGAGTATTTTTGAGTACATACATAAACATACTTCTCTGATAGCCCTGCTTGTAAGTAACAAAACACAGGAAATTTTCCTGTTAACAAAGCATGAGTTCTTAAGTCTAAGAGATGCTTCTGTAAGGTTTTCCATTCGGTTCTGTATCTAATGTAAAAAATAGTTTAACAATACGCCTTTAAAACAACAATTTAGTGATTGAACCTATTATATCATTTTTTTCTAAACAGTGACAGTATAGTACTATATTGAAATAAAACAGTGCAGGATAATTTATAGTTTTGAATTAGTGTTTTCTGCTGGAATTGTAAAATATTTAGGAAATTGAGCTACAATAAATTTTGGAACAATAAACTATTCAGCTCATATTAGCCTTAAAATTTTATGATTACAGTATTAATCTTTTTTTCCTAATTAGGATTTACTATTGTATTGCTGGAAGTATAGCTCTAAGAATTTGTAAATAGTTTTGGATGTGTTTGTATTCAGAAACCAAGGATAGCTTTTATTTTATTTTTAATTAAATTTATTGGGGTGATATTGGTTAACATGATTATATAAGTTTTGAGTGTACAATTCTATAATAGATCATCTGTGTATTGCATTGTGTGCTCACCAACCCAAAGTCAAATCTTCCATCACCATATATTTGACCCCCTTTATAAGGATAGCTTTTACAAGTAAGAAAAATTGTGAACTTAGCAGTTATGTTAGAGTGTCAGATTCAAGTTATTTTACTTCACATCATTCCAATTGCTCTCCAAGTTAGAGTGCTGCAATAGACGAGCAGTGTGTAGAAGAAAGCTTTGTTCTCTTGGCCACTAACTGTACATGGTCTGGCAAGTGTTTTAACTCCTTTGTTCCTGTTTCCATATCAGTGAAACAAGGAGACAGCCACCTGCTCTTCCTGCCTCACTGGGTAGTTGTGAGTTGAAGAGGATCATATACATGGACTACCTTTGTAAAGTAGAAAGTTCTTTACGAATGTGAGGTGGCGTATTTATCTGACAATTTTTCGTGTGCACTGTTTGCTTTTGGGTTTGAGTGGCTTTAGCATAGCTCCATGAAGTTAAGCATATATGAAATTCTTTGTGTTGCTTTTTAGTTTTACCAATTCTGAAATTAACATTTTATTAAAGTTTAAAATATTGTTTCTTTTGTATTTTTTTTTTCAGGATTAACAATTGTGTTGGTGAAGATAATCATTGGCTTTTTCTGCAGTTGTGTTTCTACACTGAACTTCTTACTTGCTACGCACTGATGTTTTCTTTCTGCCACTATTATTACTTTCTTCCACTAAAAAAGCGAAACTTGGTAAGAAATGTTTATATCCACTAATGTTAGAGCAACTGTAGCATGCAGTTATCAACATGCAGTTCCTTTAAGTGCAGAAGACTGAAAACAGAAGCAACAAGAATAGACCCCCAAATTAATGAATTTTAAAATAATTGGGATTGATAAAGTAGACCCTAATCTTACATTTCCTTTTAACCAAATTCATTTATGATAATTTATTAGTATTGAGTTACTGTCTTTAAAAAGCAACATTTAGATCTTTCAATATACGAGTATATGTTTTGGTTTAAAATATCTACAATAATGAAAAAGTGAGAATTGTTAATTTTTTCTTTTCAAGAATTAAAATTGACTTAAATTTTTAAATGTTCTCAAAGGAACTTTAAGTTCTTGAGAAAAAGGACAGTCCCCACCTTACCCCCCCAACCCGACTTTAACAATACCAATAAGAAGAATTTGCAGCATGCTTTAAAATTTTTTCTATACCATTTGAGGCAGTGCTTGTCCTATTTTGTAGAGGAATGACAACAGATGTTCATAAGACTTGCCCAAAACAGTGATGGTAGTGGCAGTGGTATAAATAGCAGGAACTAGGAGTTTGAAGTCCTTTTTGACTGTGTATCAGCCCTGTGCTATGGGCATGCCATTTTAATTCTCACCTTAATGCTCACAACAATGGCATAAGGTGGGTACAGTATTTTTTCCCATTTTATAGATGAGGGAATAGACTAGTAGACTTTAAATAAGTACTTACTGAAGGCACAAAGCTAGGAAGTGATTATTCGACTGCTTTTAGTTGTAGAGCTGGGATTTGAACATGATCTCGTGTTTTCTGAATGTTACCTTTTGTATTTTGTGTGTAGAGCTGGTATTTGAGCCTGATATTTATGTTATTTGGACTTTGGTGTTTTTTTTCTTTTAATTTTTTATTATGAAATACACATTTTTTAGAATTAGTTTCAGCTGTACAACACAGTGCAATAGTTATACTTTTTACCCCTCGAAGTGACCACCCCCTCCCCCAATCCACCGCTCCACTTCCCTCCAACATCATACATATC